ATTGGTTAGATAAAGCAATTTATTTCATTAGTAACAATTCTCACAATTATAACAGTCAAAGACATAGCCAATGTAACTTGAGACCACTCTAATCTATCATTATTGCTCCATGATGATTCCACACAATCAGGGCAGCAGACAAATCCTCCTACATTATGATTTCCATGTAAGGATTTCAAACACAAGGTCTTCTGGTCACGTTATCAATACAATCCAATATCTTGAGCAATCTCTCCTTTCATTCATTCATTCTTTCTTTCTTCAGAAGATAACTACAAGTCTCTCTATATCATCTATCTTTATATCTATTGTTTCTATAACTTTAGCCGTAACACTCAGTGTAAGATTGACTGAAAAATAATAATAGAAATTTTTACTTATAGCTCTACACACATTTATTGAATGTGTTTCTCTAATTGTCCTTCAGAACATAACATAATTAAACCATTACATGTATATGCCTTTATTCTTAATACATGCTCTTTAAACCAACTTTTAGACTAAAATATCAGCCGTAATAGTCTCGATAAAAGATTGTAAGAGCTCTGTTACAAAACAAGAAAGAAAACTGAGTATTGAACTAAAACAATACAAAGAGCAGCTAGTTGACCTGGACAAAGCTATCTTGACAACCAGATATATGTTCTCAGTAAAAACCATTTCATTCATATCAACCCATATCTGAAAAACACAACAAAATTTTACTGCTCATCCTAAATGTTTAATAGCCAGCTTGACTTTTCGCCTTGAAAACCACCCCGCTCTGTGGTGTATAACGAGGGAAATTTTGCGGGTATTGCATACTACTTACTTTCCAATCCAGCTCTTTAGGGATCCTTAAGATGTACAACCTATCGCAAACAGGGTCTCAGTTTATTGCCCAATGAAAAGAATTAAACTATTTTTCCATGTTAGCCCATCTACCCTGAATCACTGACGAAGAGAAGCCAAAACAAGAGTAACTATCTTGTCTTGCTTGCTTTGAAAGCTAAGAGGTAAATCTAATATTAGATTGTATACATAAACTGTACTCTGCGAAACTAAACTGTACAATTAATCATTGCAAAGGTTTTAGTTATGATCCCATTGCTGCAAAAGGCAAAAAGGTTCGAGGACAAACTATAGCACAACTGTTTAGAGCATCATAATCTTTACATTTGTTTGGTAGTCAAGTAGATGTTGGTCAAATGTTATAATCTGAAGGACCTGCTGATCCATTTGTTATACTTTTAAAAATTGCTGTTTCTTCATTTCTTTAGAGTGACTTACTTCTGTTTTATATGCCCTGAGAGATTGTTCCAAATTTCTTGCCCTACACACCAATCAATCCCTCTCGGCAGGACAGGGACGATGAGCTCCCTGCAGGATTACTCCCTGCCTACCCTTAAAACTGTTATCTATATCACCCTTAACTGCAATAAAAAAAATCAGGGACTAAGGTTTCCATAGATTAACATGGGTAATTTGAATTTTCTTATTTGCAAATTTTGTACAGTTCTAGTACTTCTGAACTTACATATTCGATGTCGAATCTCAAACTCGAAAAAGTGAATGTGCGTAATGAAATTAATTTCAGGTCGGTCAATCAAAACTTAATCAACGCCTCTAAAGATTCCAATCTACATTAGGCTAGCGTTCTGTAAAATTTAGTTATTTAAAAAAATCTCCAGATATTTTAAGATTCAAACTTATCTTCTTCACCTTTTTAGAAAAAAAACAACATTATCTGAAACCATACTCGGACACCATTATCCGATACCATACAGCAACACCATTATCTGACACCATACACCAACACTATAATCTAAACCCATACACCGATATCTTCTTATCTCAATAAACCAAAAAGTAATCTAATAATAATTAAAATACCATATATAATAAAGGGTCAGTATGTAAAATTTCTAAAATATTTTACAAATTAAATCATAAACCATCTTTCTTTACATTTTTCTGTTTTTTTGGATTTTACACTGTTGAGTTCTCAGACTGTATCACATGTGGCATAGGTATTTTGTCCCATCCGAACATCCCGTGACACAATAAATACCCATATCTGATTTAGAAAATCATAGAAAAAAGGCTAAAAAGAAAAATTAATACTTAACCTCAAGATCAAGTTCCAGAAAGAATCCCTACATGTCAATCCCACATATGCACAAGCCAACAGTGAATTTTTTATTTCTGGACGATAAAAATACCAATTTCTGAAATAGAAAAGCATCATTACACTCCCCCTTCCCCAATTGAAATTGAAACTAACTTAACTTCTAAATCTACCGGTTCATGATCCAAAAAAAACAAAACCAACACAACTTAACAAAAGTCATGGTCAAAAAAGCACACATCCGAACAAACTAATGCAGAACGCCAAGCAAATATGACAGAAAGTCAAGCCAAAACAAAAAAAGCAGACACCCAAAAAACAAAAAATGAAAACCATCACTCTTCCACCGTTATCTGAAAAACAAAAAAATATAAAAAAATTACCTTAAAAATATTGAAAAAGTGCCATGGCTTTATCAGCTGGCAGGAAGCCGCTGTGGCTCAGTGAGTTTGATGCTTGGTTGCTTCACTTTCAGAAAAGGTTGAGGCAATACCTTTGAAGTTTTCAACTCCTGTCTATGATGTCAAGTCAGAGGCGTCAGTATGAAAAAGGGTTTAGATACAATAAACTAAGGCCCTGTGTGCTAAAGGCTGTTCACATCCTTGACTGGTGGAAATTGAAATCCTTATATCCTGCAGAATTTCCCTCATTGAATACAATTGCAAGTATGACACCATTTCATTTCTATCTGCTGGTAAAATGAAAATATTAAGATGACTATACCTACGGTTTCTTTATCTGCATGCATGCTTCTTCTCATCTGATAACCTTCCTTTCATCCATACCACCATAACCTTAAAGGAAAACATTGACCTCAACGACCAAATTTGACCCCTGAACTCGAACACTAACTTTGACCCTTGAACTCAAATATCAACTTTGACCCTTGACCTCAACCACCATCTTTGACCTTTGACCTCAACCACCATCTTTGACCTTTGACCTCAACAACTATCATTGACTTTTGACCCCAACCACCATCTTTGACATTAGACCTCATATACTCAATTTGACCTTAACTGCCAACTTTGACCTGAACTTCCAAAGCTGTAAATAGCAAAATACCCCAAATCAAAAAACAGGAATACAAACAATAAAGCTGAAATCCAAACCGAAAAAGAAATGAAAGCCATTAAGCAAACATCCAAATAGTTGCTGATGGTTTTTGTATCATGGCAATTCTTATTTAATGGTAGTGGAAAGGTAATCTTGGTATGATTGACTGGTATCTAGTAAAAGGTGCAGAAACACCGAATGAAAGCAGAAATACGTGGCACGTTTCTCAAAAAATCTTTCAATAGAAATTTGTCATAAGTGTGGAATTTTACACTGAGAAATACCATACTTAGACAAATATTGATTGTGAGATTTTTGTGAGAAACATGGCCAGATCTCGTTGCTAAAAGGTTAGTCAGCCTACTGATAGATAGAAAGAAAGATATTTTACAAGGACAGCTTAGGTTCAAAAGATCCTGTCTGACAGCTGTTTCTTGATCAAATTTCTTGGCAATGATTTTACTCAGATTATTCATACCCATTTACAGAGTCGAATAGAATACTGAGGAAAGATGACTTATTCTAGGGCAAGGAGAAAGTCAATTCTAAAGGCACCAGTAAAAACCAGTTGCTGGAAGCAGAACTTATATAATGCAGAGACACCAAATCAATGCAGAAACACCAAATCAATGCAGAAACACCAAATCAATGCAGAAAAATCAAATCAATGCAGAAACAACCAATCAATGCAGAAAAACCATCTTCTTGTGAGCTCTTCAGCTGAAATAAGAAAGGAATTATGTAAATTAGCCATAGCTCAAATATTCATCTAGTCAATGCAACTATTTATTTTGAACACAACTTGCTTTTTTAAAGAAATACCACTTCTTAGAATAAACAGCAGATAAATGCATTGTTAATTATTACAGTATGTAATTATTGAACAACATTGATTTTCCTGTAATATCTTGCTAATTTCACTTTTTTGGATCCCAACTTTGAAGCGTCTTCATCTGAACGAAAACCAAAATTTCTTGGCACTTTTCGCAATTTTCAAAAGAGCTTGGAACCCACTTTCATGCACTTTGGGGCAACTTACAAAGAAGCACCAAATTAGAAAAACCGGCATCTATTTTCAAGACCTAAACTTTCACCCCACTGATGTTCATTCTAAAAGGTAGTATTCCTTTGAAACTATGTCATTACTGATATGCATATGCGGGCACAGCCTTGAATGGTAGAAGAACTAAATGGAAGGTTTTCATTTTTGAAAATGCCAGTCAATCATATAACCATAATTCAGTTGCAGAAGAACCAAGTCAGATTTTCACCAAACACAAGGCAATATTATGGAATTAGCACACTTCTTAGATAAACTAATTAAACACATAATGTTTCAACTTTCAGCAAAATTTACATGTGCCATCATCAGATGAAATAATGATGGAATAAAACATAACTAAATGTATAAATGGTAACCATTTAAGTCTTCCCTATTGTTTTAACTTATTTATTTCCTAAATTGTAACTAACTTTGGATAATAAGCTTATGTTCTCTTATTTAGACTTCTCATTATTAATTTTATTACCCTTTACACTGTTAATCTCTTTATTATTCTTAGTTGTAATATGTTTTGTTAGGTTTTTTATTCTGATGACAACACATTGTTTGAAACGTTATCTGTTTAATTAGTTTATTAAAGAAATATGTTAAATCCATAATAATGCCTTGTTTCTGTTATGTACGCCTCATTTCTAATTGTAGTTCAAGTCTTATGTCCGATTTCATTTTTAAAATTAAGATGACTATGTTCACTAAATCCCTTGTAACATACCCATGGCTTTTCATCTGTAGACTTGGTTCTTCTTATTGAGTACTCTTTGAAGGTCCCTCTTTTCATCTGTTGATCTTTTCTTCAGCATTCTTCACTTGTTCTTCATACTTCTTTCTGTTCTTCATCTGTTCTGTAGGCGCCGCTTCATCTGTTCTTCTTCTGTTCCTCTTCATCTGTGAATAGGAGGTCTGAAAAGTCATACAGGCCATGACCTCAGAACACTCCTATTGTGGCAGTGCTATTGCGGGTAGGTAAATTACCAGACGATTTACCCTTTCTAACCTGAAAAATATAAATACATAATTGCAAATAATTAGATGACTACCATTTTAAGTAATTTTTTACAACAATGTGAGAGTGGCCACGAAATACCCTTAAATTATACACCACAATTTGGCATCATCATTCTTTAGGGTCTTGATTGGCTGTTTACTCATATAAATACCATGACATTGACATGACATGACAATTACATTGTAATTGTTTATTTTTGAACAAAAATAACATGATTCACAAAACTGTATCAGACAAGCAAAGTGTTGCAAGATATTTCAAAGTAAGAATATCAAAATGGTTTGAAATTACAGATCAAATATTCTTAAACAAACTTGCCTTGCGAGCTTCTGTGCCACACCATAAGCACTTGACTTCTGTATAATGAAACTCTGTTTACACCTAAAATTAAAAATATACAATTTAATTCTTTGATATGGCGCAAATGAAATTATTCAACAAATACATAAATGCAAACAGTTGATGGATTCTATGGAACAGTCTTTTACTCAGTAACAAGCGTTTAAAAGCGTCGGGAACTTTACAGGAGGCTTGTTTAGTTATGTCCAAACAATGGTGGTCATCAGATCAATTTCAATAGATCTGGCCGAAGACCAGCTAGAAGACACATCATATCCGAGATAGGTATTAAAATATCCGTACCTGGCTTCGTTCCAAGAGTCGCCTTTAGGACATTTGTGCTCCACCATAACCTTATTGACCTCCAAATGTAATGTCCTGTTGAAGCTAAAGACCAGCTCCTTTGTTCTTGGAACCCTAAAAGTAAAGATTCTTATTTTAAAAGTAGATTTGGAAAGTTTTGTGCAAACAGTAATAAATACTTTAGGCCAAAGACTAGAAGAATAAGTCCATTGCCTTATCTGGAGGTTTCAGCAAAAAAATCCTTCTGTTAAATCTATAACATTAAAACTACTAAAAGTAACCTGGTGATGAAAATCTTGAAAACTACCTCTTTAATTATGTATATCAAAATAATGTGAATAACATCATTTGGCCAATATCTCTGCTCAAGGACAATCAATTTTCAAAGGTCACTCTTGAATTGATTAGTTTTAAGCTTTTGAGTCGGAGACTAAATGTCTTTTTGAAGTAAAGCTTTTTACTGTGGTATCTGTCATTAGCCAGGCATGTCATGCTTTTCCCACTTGTAAAACCCTTTTGCCAATGGAATTATCAAATATTCGCCCATTTCAGAGAGAAAGATACCAGAGTAGTTTTTGCTTTTTCATTCCACAGCAGGGGACTTGTATATGAAATGGATTTTTAGAGAGCAATCAGATGACTGGAATACCAAAATCATCGTAAGTTGAGTTTTCAACATTAATGCTCCAGTACACCTTCAAGGGATACAGAAAATGAACAAGAATTTTTCAGGGTGGGTTTCACAAAATTTCACAGAACAGTAATAGTGATTGAAATTGAAATATGTAGGTAGGTACTGACCGTGCTATGTTGATCATCTAACTGTAAGTGGTGTATGTCAAACCCAATAGTAAAGACCACTATCGAGTTCCCGCTGACGGCTGAAAAAAACAAAAGACAAACATTGTATGGAGTCAAAATACCATATAATTTTGTATCTGAGGACATATTCTATTTATTTCCGGTTTATTGGGCATGGTTATTGAGCCATGAAACACGGAATCCACTTGATTTTTGCAAATTGATATATATTTCTGAAAATTCACACAGCTAATAATATCATGGTACTATAATTTGAAAACATCAAGGTCTATGATAAACTTACAAAAAATTGGTGGAGGAATCGCCCAATCTGTTCCTCTTCATCTGTTCCTCTTCATCTGTTCTTCATCTGTTCCTCTTCATCTGTGAATAGGAAGTCTGGAGTCATACAGGCCATGACACCAGAACACTCCTATCGTGGCAGTGCTATGGCGGGAAGGTAAATTACCACACGATTTACCCTTTCTAACCTAAAATCAGACACAAAATATACTTAATTTTTTCTTTAAAGTCAAGCACATATAAATGTTGTCAATCTTCTTAAATAAAAAATTTCATTGAATGGAGATATTAATTCAATTTTGTTCACTGGTCAAACAGCTTATTTGGTTTGGCTGGATTCTCAAGACCTTGGCCACTCTAACCCTTCTTTAATTTTCCTTTTATATTTCTCCTTGTACTGATAAGTAAATGGTACCAAGTGACATTTCAGAAATCCAGGTGATATTTAAAAGTGACACAGGTTTGAATTTTGGAAGCAGAAGCAGGTGTGGCATCATAAGTTTATAAACCTTAAAGAAGATTTGAGCTCACAGCACCTTATTGCAGTTTAAACAGTTCCCAAGTTAACCCCTTCAAGCATAAATTTATTTTAGCCAGACAAAGGATCGAGGAGTCTAAATTATCAGGGATAAGGATAGCATTTTGCATTTAAGTACACTTACCTTGCAAACTTCTGTGCCACACCATAAGCACTTTAATTCCATGTAGTGAAGTTCGATCTGTTTACACCTAAAATTTTAAATATTTCAAACATATGAATACCAAGTATATAAAAATTTGGTAAATCGTTTCGTTTGGATTAAGGACAATTCAAAAACAGTTCATACAACAGCAGATTTACCAACAATAAAAGGGATTGTGTCCAGATATTTTTTTTATGTTTATTGGGGACCAACAAAAGTCTGATTGAAAATTGGAATTGTGCAAATTGATGCTACCAGTGTCCCCGATACCTATGAACAATCTTTACAATCCCTTTAAACATTCCAAGTTTTAAATAATTCAATTCAAAATTTGATACCTTTGGTTGCATATGAAAGCCACTTTTTAGCTTGGAAATTAAAATAGTGCAAATAAATACACATTATAAAATGCTGGAAATCTTTTTCATATTCCTTTCTTACTTTGAAAATACAGTATAAACAATTTGACTTGTATTGCTATATCATACCATATGAAATATTTCAAATATCCTTACCTAGCTTCGTTCCAAGAGTCGTCTTTGGGACATTTGTGCTCCACCATAACCTAATTGACCTCCCAGTTTAAATGTCCTGTTGTAGCTAAAGACCAGCTACTTTGTTCTTGGAACCCTGGAAGAGAAACAACATTTTAATTATGGTAATTTTTTTTGTATATATGTAAATAGTCTTCAGAAGTGATAAAAATGTATGCTAATTCCTTCAAAAATACCTCAAACTGGGCATTTCTTTTTCTATATAGTGGTATGTCTTTTCTGTAATTGGCAGTCATCTTTCTAACACAGATTATTCTGGACATACACAGATTTCAACAGTCAGCTCTTTTTCAAACTGTTAAGGGATTTTTAACATTCACAGTCCGTAGCACACAGGGCCTTAGTTTATTGACACGTCCGAACAACTAGAAACTTTTTCCATATCTGCCCTACCCACCTGCATCATTAACAAAGGGAAATCAAGTTTTACAGTATAAAGCTTAATTAATAGGTACTGCAGCTCATCAAAGATAGCTTTCTTGGCAAGGTGATATATACCCGCTGGCAGCTTTATTTTCAAATTAAAATATTTGGAATGAATATATAACAATCACCAGTGTCAAATATTCAACCATTCGTCATACATTTTTTTTGAACTTTTTTGTCTTTTAAATATTGATAATTTGGTATAAATCTGTTTTAAGTACTTACAAGCTACAATTGAACACTTCAAACACAAGGGCAATAACTCATATTTTTGATCTTCAATAGTGTCCATCCATCAAAGATAATAAACACACCAAGTTTTGTCAAAATCCATCAAGAATCTTGCCTTCTGAAGTTTTCACAGACTGATAGACATTTGTGATGCCAAAGTGGAATTTATAAAACTTAGTATACTGACCGTGCTACGTTGATCATCTAACTGTGTGTGGTGTATGTCAAACCCAATAGTAAAGACAGCTATTGAGTTCCCGCAGACCTGACGGCTGAAAATAAACATTTTAAGTCAATTAAAGCAGGTGTCAATAGATGGATATATCAAGTTTTAATGAGTCTGACACCATTAAACCTTTTAAGCCAGTTGCCATAAGTCTAGATTTATCAAGTGCTTAAGAAGAGTTTGATATAATTGAACCTTTGATGCAGTAGCCAGTGGCAACCAATCTGGATTAATCAAGTGATTAAGAGTCTGACATCATTGAACCTTTGATGCAGTAGCCAGAGGCAATTAATTTTGTTTTTATCAAGTGATTAAGAGTCCGACATCATTTAACATTTGATTCAGTAGCCTGTTGCCAGAAGTCGTAGATTTATCAAGTGTGTACGCGTCCGATATCATTGGACCTTTCCTACAGTAGACTGTTACTCTTGTCACCATGTTCGGTATTCGATTTATCAAGTGTTCATGCATCAGATATCATTGAGCCTTTGATAGTACAGTAACCTGCTTGTCACTATGTTTCATTCATTCATTTCATTCATATGTTCAATCTTAATCTTTCCTCTTTATTTATCTATTATCCAAAAACCAGCTGGTAAAAAGGATCCTAGTTTACATAGTTGTTACCTAATTCAAGGATGCCAAACACCCACACAGAAGATGTGTTTAATAGTTAGATTCAATTAAAAGCAGCATAAATCATAATGATTAATCTGTCAAAATTCAAAAACAATCATTTCCTTACTCAAGAACTTCAATTCCAATGATCACCCCAAGTTGCAATCTATTTAAAATTGTAGCTTCTATTGTGCTAACAAACAAATTTTGACGTGTTTTTACCAAGTCAAGGGCAGTAACTCAAAAATGGTTCACCAAAAAATCAAATTTGTAATTTTCCAATATCTCATAATAATCAGACCAATTTTCATCCAAATTGTTTGAGGTCTTTCGTTTTTATTGTAGAAACTGAAAAATTTTGACAAGTTTTAACTAAATCAAGGATAATAACTCAAAACTGTTATATTATCACACCATATTTCATTAATAACAAGAAAAAAAATCAAATTCAAACTAGTCCAAGACCTCAACAATATAAATGATCACACCAAGTTTCATTTAAATCAGATAAAAACTAAAGTCTTTATCCTGCTCACAAGAAATGTTGACAAACCAATGGAAGAAATAATAAAACTTGACATCAAATACCATCAAATAAGAATAATAACGCGTACTAAATATTTTCAACTTTTTACTGTATTTTAATATTGTTCATCCTAGGGTGAAGGATAAATGATTTCACCAAGTTTCGTCTGAATCCTTCTTGAGTGTTTACAAGCAAAACAAGTGGTTGCCTAGCAAGATACGCCCACTTTTCTGATACATTTTCAGTATATCAAGGGCAGTCACCTATCTGTGTCATATCATACCAAAAATCTAATTTGTGCAAGATATTGTTGATTTAAACAAACACACATTATTTAATAAAATTCGGACATAAACTGTCACCTCTATCGCTAACAAATTTTGATGTGTTTTACTAAGTCATGGGCAATAACCCAAATTCTGTTTTCTCAAATTCAATCTTGACTAAGATCTCATCATTATAAATGATCATACCAAATTTCATTTAAATCGGATGAAAACTGTACTCTCGTTTGTGTACACAAACAAATTTTGACGCGTTTTTCATGAGTCAAGGACAATAACTCAAAAACCGTTCATCGAAAAATAGCCAAATTCAAAATCGTCCAAGATCTCATCAATATAAATATTTACACCAAATTTCATTGAAATTGGATGAAAACTGTAGTCTCTATTGTGTTAACAACCAAATTTTGACGCGTTTTTCATGAGTCAAGGGCAATAACCCAAAAACCGTTCATCGAGAAATAGCCAGATTCGAACTTGTCCAAGATCTTATCATTACAAATTTTCACACCAAATTTCATTTAAATTGGATGAAAACTGTAGTCTCTTATTGTGTTCACAACCAGATTTTGATGCGTTTTTCATAAGTCAAGGGCAATAACTCAAAAACCGTTCATCGAAATATAGCCAGATTCGAACTTGTCCAAGATCTTATCATTACAAATTTTCACACCAAATTTCATTTAAATTGGATGAAAACTGTAGTCTCTTATTGTGTTCACAACCAAATTTTGATGCGTTTTTCATAAGTCAAGGGCAATAACTCAAAAACAGTTTCTTCAAATTGGAACTTGTCCAAGATCTCATGAATATAAATGATCACACCAAATTTCATTTAAATTGCATGAGAACTGTAGTATCTATTGTGTTCACGACCAAATTTTGATGAAACAGTCTTTGGTGACTAAAGTACGGTATGAATTTTCTCATATTAAAGAAATTTAATATTTTAATATTAAAATATCAATAACCCAAATACATCAAATTATCGCATCAATATACATGATCACACCATGTTTCATTAAAATCAATTGAAAACTGTAATCTCTAATTTGTTCACAAACAAATTTTGATACGTTTTTCCTAAGTCAAGGGCAATAACTCAAAAACCATTCACCGAAAGAACGTCAAATTCGAACTTGACCAAGAACTCATCAATATAAATGACCACACAAAATTTCATTAAAATCAGTTGAAAACTGTAGTCTCTATTGTGTTCACAAACAAATTTTGACGCGTTTTCCCTAAGTCAAGGGCAATAACTCAAAAACCGTTCATCGAAAGATAGTCTTATTCGAACTTGACCAAGATCTCATCAATATAAATGATCAAACCAATTTCATTAAAATCAGTTGAAAACTGTAGCCTCTATTGTGTTCACAAGAAATGTTGACGCACCGACGGACAGAGGTGAAGGCAATGTGGACGTATAAAAAACCGTTCATAAAAAAAGATCATCAAATTCGAACATGTCCAAGATCTCATGAATATAAATGATCACACCACATTTCATTCAAATCAGATAAAAACTGTTGTCTCTATTGCGTTCACAATCCAATTGTGGACGGACGGACAGGGGCGACAACAATACATGACCAATAATGTGGGAGTATAAAAATTGAAAGTGTTTTCAACAACAAGTGAATAAACCCATTTAATTTTTTTTTTTCAAATTTGCGACATTCTTGGGTGATAATAAACAATTTCATTAAGTTACATTTTTAAAATCTGTTGAGAATTGGGCCTTATAAAGTGTTTTTACAAGCTAAAAATTGAATGCTTTTCAATTCTTCGATTCTATATTTTTCAAGTCCTTTGGCTTTCGATAGAGTTCATCATTTGGAGCTACCATTAAAATAAACAATTTAATCAAATTTCGTCAAAATCTGTGAAGAATTCTGCCTTGTAGAATGTTTATGAGCAATTGTAGACGGACCAACATGGTTGACACCAATATATACGCTCCACATTTCATGTAGGTGCAAAAAATCCAGTTGGACTCTCTCAACAATACTTAATATGTAAAAAAAGAACATAATTCAGATATCTGCCCTAGTTTGGGAAATCATGGATGTTTTTCTCAGTATGAGCAAAATAGTTTTTAGTTCCTTGGTATGTTTTTATGACTTAAACCAACAGTTCCACCTACATGCATGTTTGTTTTCTGTGTAATCAGCTAAGCGAAGAGATCAGAGCCATTGCAGCAGTAGTAAAAGTAAATGTTGTATTCGAATCCAGATCGACCTTTCCTGAGATCCATAAATCACTTTGGTACTAGTTGGAAAGTTACTTGAATCTCTGTCATATCAGGTTTATATCTTCAACTTCCAGGTATATCCAAATGCAGCCTTCGCTTGGTTCAATTTAAAAACTTTATAACAAATCTTGCAGACTTAGATTAATTGTATTGTTTGAATCCAAGTCTAACATAAAACATCATGTGTGATTCATCAATCACAATATCCTGTGATGGTGTGTAAGCTGAATTTTGGCTTACATACTATAGGCTACCAATCGCAATCGTTTTCTGTTGTGAATGTTGCACGTGCAAAAACATAATTTTCTGCCAGAGCACTTCACACATTAACTCATTGAAAATGTCAGAACAGCGCTGTCTTCATTCAGGTTATCTAGCTCACAATCATACAGGCATATTGTCGACTTCCACCCATTTCCATTCAATTGGATTATTAGGCATGGCACTTTAAATTTCTTCATTAAAGCGGCAAACAATGAACAAATTTGCACTACCAACTTTATTTATATTCTTGATCACTTTTGATTGGATGCATCGTCGCGTTACTTATTACTTATCTCATTTTCATCCAAATTGAATTTTCGTTTGTTACTGGACGCCATGATGGAAAGGGAGACAACCC